CTAAACTCAACCCTCAGGGGCTCCTTTAGGCTCAGCTCTGAGCTCTAACTCATCACCAGCCCCCAGCAGACAGGAAACTTTTGTTTCCCCCACTGCTCCCTACAGCACCCAGCCCAGTCCCCCAGCATTCCCACACCCCAGCCCACCGTGCCCTCCAGCATTCCCAGCCCACTCTCCTCCATTTCGCCCCTGTGCCCCCCCAGCACTCCCCAAAGCCCCCAGCCCACCTTCCCCTGTTCTATCTGTTAACACATCAAGCAGTTTTTACCTCAGTTAGAAAAACACCTCATGGCAAAAATGTGGGCTAAAATGGGCACCCGGCCACGAGGAAGGGGGTGGGGGAGGAGGGGGCAACAGCCATCAGGCCAGCAGCCCCACAGTGCCCTGAGGTGGAAGGGCTGTTAAACGGAACATTTGGTTCTGTTAGCAGTTACCGGGGGAGGGGGGGCAAGGGGGGGGGGGGGGGAAAACTGTCACCCTACCTTCCTCTGGGGGTAATTATTGAGATCGACCCAATGTGAAATCTCAGCACCTCCAAGGTGAATGCCAACACTAGCTTAGTTAAAGGAGGGCTGCAGGGCTCCTCAGACCCCCCCCCCGTGCCCCCACAGGGACCCACCTCCCCATTTTAAACCTCAGCATGCCCCCACCCGGGGATCCCCCAGTGCCACCACCACTATCCCACTCACCATCATCTCCGAGCCCGCTGGCGTCCCAAGATGAGCCCAAAGCCAACCCAAAGGGCCACAGCTCTGTGCTGGACTCCCCCTTTATCCCCAAGCTGGGACGGTGACCCCCGCAGGGCCTGCAGGCTGGGGGCAGCTCCTGACCGCTGCAGGGTTTCACATTTCAGGCCCGCAGCCTGCGCTAGGATCTCCCTCTGCTCTTCACGTGACATTCACGTCAAGCATAAATATTTCCCCGTTAGCACGGCTGGAAAACTTCTGCTGGAAGGAGAGGGTGGAAAGCAGAGACGGGGACATGTGATCCTTGTGGGACAAAGGTGCCATGACAGCTAAGGGGGGGTTGGGGAGGGTTAGGATGAGCTGCTGCCGTCCCTGTGCCGTCAGCCCCACCACCCACTCCTCTGCTCATTTCCAGCCCTGGAAGATCACAGCACAATGTAAAGAAAAGGATTTTTATTTAAAAAAAAAAAAAAAAGAAAAACACACACCAAACCCAAACAGATGTGAAGGAAGCTCCACCAACTAGTGCCACCTCCTGAAGTAAATACAAGGTTTTAAAATGCAACTTTTGAACAAGGCACTTTCATTAAAAGAAAATATGGAAACAGAGCAGGACTGGGCACGCAGAGCTCTCACATTCAGCCAGGAAGAGCCAACAGATTTCTGGCCTCAGAGCAAATAACTTTCTCCTAGGAAGGCAAAGCACAGAAGTATCTCTGTATTAAGATTTAAGATTGTAAATATTCTGAAACATTCAGCCCATCACTTGGCAGCTCGATGGACCAGTATCTCTGCTGGAAGTGGCAGTGAGATCTGCAGGAACCTCCCTCAGTATCATGGAGCTCGTCTGGTTAACCCTGAAACCTCAGTGACACACCAGATAAAGGCATATCACCATCAGAGGCTTTAAGTCAGCCTTGGCTCCAGTGGAGACCAGAGACTCCAGTTCCACTCCCATCCACTAACACAGATTTGTACAGCAGGATGCAGGGGAGAGGGGAGAAGCAAGGCAGGCTATGTACAGCAGCTGAGCAGCTTCACCTGCAAGAATTCACACCCCTTCACAAGGCCCTCAAAAAACATTCCAGAATGAAAACCAAACAAACTAACATGAAACTGTTTTCCTTTGCCTCAAGCCAGGCTGAGATCCCTTCCAAAAGCAGACAAGTCATTCAATTTGCTCTGGAAAAAAACCCAAGTCTCTTAGAGTTAGGCCTTTTGTTCCTTGATTGACATCCAGAGGACAATCCTCAGGTCAGCAGAAGTTTCTCAGAAACCAGACAGCCCTTCCAACAGGGCTGTTTGCACCCATCTGGCCCCAGAGCTGATGCTCACAGCTCAGAGCGCTCTCCAATCAATGGGCTTCTTGCCGGACTTCTTTAGGAGCTCATTTGTCTTGGAGAAATGCCGACAGCCAAAAAACCCTCTGTTCACAGACAGAGGGGAAGGGTGAACCGTCTGCAGGACGTGGTGGCGTTTCTGTGAAGGGTGAAGGAAACAGCTCGTTAGATCTCTGCATTTTCAGGGACAAGGTTGGCTGCTCCACGTCATTTAATTTCCTCTCTGCGTTTCCTCAGTCATCAGACCAAGAAAGGAGGGCTGAAGAATTCAGCCATAAAGGCAGAGACTTTTGTCCCACTGAGGACAGGCTGCACAGAAGCAGTAACACCCAGCCCATTTTTCAATTGCTGTTGTCCTAACAGCACTTATTCATGAGATTTTTCCTAGAAATACCAGCTCTGCCATCAGCTGGAGGCTCTTCTGACAACAGCACATTACTCTTGCTCCACTTTTGTTGCTTAATTCTGGCAAAGACCAAGCTAAACAAAAGGGCAATCAAGTTTGGCAGCAGCAGAGTTCAAGCAGGGACTAAAACACAACCCTGTAAAGAAAGCACCCTCTAGCGTCCACCCCGTAACGAAAAACATCAGTGAGCCACTGCACGACCCCATACCCTGTCAATAGAGCTGCCCTTCTTCTGAGCATAAGCTCCCCACAGCATGAAAACAACACCGTGCAGGTTCTTGTTCAGCCAGGAGACCACCACATCTGTGAACTGCTCCCAGCCCTTCTCCTTGTGGGACGTGGCCTGGTGGGCTCGCACCGTGAGGACAGCGTTGAGCAGGAGCACGCCTAGCACACAAACAAAGCCACAGGTTAGCTGCCTTCTGCTTCCCTTGAGAATAAATAACAGGAATATTTTCATCCCAAGGTACTTGCTAGGGCACCTAGAATTGATTTTGCTTTACAGATAGGCTCTGCCTAATCACAGATCTGCTTTTCAGGATGCCTTACCCTGCTTGGCCCAGCCAGTCAGATCACCGTGACCAGGATGGGTGAAATCTTCAATATCAGTAGACAGTTCTTTGTAAATATTTTCCAGACTAAGATCATGGGAGAAAGACAAAAGATTATAAACTATGCACCTGGGACAGACAAACAATTTGGTAACAGAACCAAAACTAATTTGTTCATGAAAGGAATTTTGTAAGATGGTTACTGCCATACCTGGGGGGAGGTGGAACAGGTTTCTGGACACTGAAACAGAGCCCATGAGCTTGATTAGGTCCGTGATAAGGATCTTGTCCCAAAATTACAACTTTTACCTGGAAGCAGACCATAATTAGTATTGAATCATATTACTGTTCCCCCAAAAAAATGGAAACAAAGGAAAAGCTTGCATACAGGCTCTATCCTAGAACAAATGCAGACAAAAAAACAACCAGTAACTGCCTTTCAATCACTGACACTATATGCAAGTTAAGAAACAGCCCCTACCAGAGGCTAACACCACAGCTGTGCTGCCAAGATTATGGAGATGCTTTGAGTTTCCAAAACAACAAAGCAAAACAACAAAGTTTACACAAATCCGCAATCCACAATGAATGTTTCCAAAGAAGCTTTCTGAGTTCTGAATTCTGTGCCACATTCACTGTGAAACTAAAGGCCACACACACAGCTTATTCGCAAGGCATTACCTTAAACACTACCATGCATATCTCTGTATTACAGTTCATTAGATAGGAGAAAATTCAAGATGCACGAGACCCCAAATCAGGCCCCACCCTCCCACGAGCCCCACCCCTAAGGCACTTCAGATCCAAACCACCCACATCCTACTCACATCCCTGATGTCACACATCTGTGTCCAGGTGAAGACCTGCTCTGGAGGTGGGTACACCGTGTGTTTCTTCCTCTCCTCGGCCACAAATGCCATCAGCTGCAGGCAGAACAAGGGGATCAGCACAGGGGTAGCACCGGGGCAGCAGCACAGTGCGGGGCCAGCCCTAGACACTCACGTCCACGAAGTAGGGCTTGGAGAACTCTGCCGCCAGCTGCCGCCGCCAGCTCTCCCCGAAGCCCGGAGGAGCGTAGCGCTCGTTCAGCCGCCGCAGTGCCAACTCTTTGTTTCTGCGCATCCGCTCCAGTTGCTCTGGGCTCAGCGCTGAGGCCCTGCCCGCTTCATGATCCGAGGTTTTCTGCCTCTTAGCGGCATCGTCCTGCAAACGGCGAGAGAAAAGACCGCTGCAGAGCGGGCGCAGAGAGGCGCGGCCCAGCCACTTGCCCAGCCGCAGCCCTGAAACCACCATGCCACAATCCGGCCCTCCCTGCAACACACGTGTTTTTCTCGCGGCAAAACAGCGACAGATCTGTCCCGATTGGTTACCGCACCCTAAGAGGGCCCGCCCACAAGCGCGGCTCTGATCCCGCGCTCTCCCATTGGCCAGCGTAAAAATATCCGCTTATTTCTATTGGCTCTCGACTGGAGTAGTGTGCTAGTCTGCCTAGCAATCGTGACGTAAACAAGCCTGCAACGCCTATTGGATGCTATTGGTTGCTCAGTCAGGCGTGCAGAACCGCGGGATTTTGGAAGCGGCTCCCAACGGCCGCTAGCACCTCACCCCCCACACAGGCACCGCAGCCCTTCAACAGCCAACCCCCAGCTCTCGGCAGCTCTTGCCAGCTCTCGGCAACCCCCTCCTCACCAGCCCCCAGTGCCCTGCGCAGCTCTCGGCCACCTCCAGAGTCCAGAATGCTCCTTTACCCCTATAGCCTCCACCACACAGTTACCTCAGTACCACAGCCAGGCTCTGGAGAGCGGCTGCGTTTCCTCGGCGGTGCGGTGCTGAAGAAACAATGTAGCGTCTTCTGCCCGATCATAGCTGCGGCAGTGCCGGAGGGAGGACAATAGCAGCAGGACCGGCGCGAAAAGGTGGTCGAGGGGGGCGGGGCCACGGTTTGGCGCCAAAAGCTCGCGCAGGCGCCGGGGGCGGGGCCTAGTGGTGACAGGGGGCGGGGCTTAGGGAAGCGCGTGCGTACTGCTTCCGGTACGGAGGGGTTGAGAGATTCCCGCCTCCAGTCGCTCCCTCATTGGGGCCGCTCCTCAGCGCCCGCCCCGTACGGGTGCTGTCCCACGTATTACTCGCTTTGCGCATGGACAGATTCGTGGTTAAACGTTCTGCTGAGGAACCTGGGGGTGATGGCAAGAGGCCCCGGTTAGAGGAGGCGGCGGGCGGCCTGCCCCATCCCTCGCAGCCTAGTCAGCAGATCCGCGCCCAAGGCCTGAGCCTCGAGTATCGCCTCCTCTTCGGCCGGGCCGAGGCTGACGAGGTCTTCCAGCAGCTGGAAAAGGAGGTGGAGTACTTCGAAGGTAAAGCAGCTGAGGGGGAGGGTCTGATCTTTGGAATCAGCGTGATTAGGTTGGAGGGGACCCCAAAGCCCCCCCAGCCCTGCCGTGTGCTGGCTGCCCCCAGTTCAGGCTGCTCATCCATGGCCTCGGGCGCCTCCAGGGATGGGACACCACAGCTCTGGGTCTCACTGCCCTCTGAATGAAGAATACTGAGTTAATTTTGATCCATCTTGTTTAAACAGGTGAACAGACAAAGTTGCATGTGTTTGGCAAATGGCATAACATCCCCAGGAAGCAGGTAACCTACGGAGACCCCGAGTTAACGTACACTTACTCAGGTGTCACCTTTTCTCCTAAGCCGTGGATCCCAGTTCTCAACCGCATCAGAGATCGCCTTGTTTTGGAAACGGGACACACTTTTAATTTTGTTGTTATTAACAGGTATGTCTGATTTCCAGTCACACAAAGCAGCTCCTTCCTATTGCTTGGTGTACTGACAGATCACCAAGGAGTAGTTTGCTATTCATTTTGCTGGACTGACAGGTGAACTGATTATTCTGATTACAGGTATAAAGACGGTGAGGACCACATAGGTGAACATCGAGATGATGAGAAGGAGCTGATTCCACGTAGCCCTATTGCATCAGTGTCCTTTGGAGCCTGCAGAGACTTCGTTTTCAGGCACTGCGATTCCAGAGGGAAGAATGCAACACGGCACATTAAGCCCATCAGACTGCAGCTAGCCCATGGCAGCCTGCTGATGATGAAGTACCCCACTAACGTGTACTGGTACCACAGCCTGCCCATCCGCAAGAGAGTGCTTGCTCCAAGAATCAACCTGACATTTCGGAAAATGATGGTTGTTGACAAAAAAGCGAGATAGCAATGAAGCACCTGGACCATAGACCCTGAATACTGAAGTTTTCCTCCTCGATATAGCTGTCAGTTCCTCAATCAAGCTGTGTTTGATGATCCAAGGCATTAACCTAGAAGATAGAGTGCTTGGTAACTTGCTAATAAGTTCTGCAGCTACTGATCTTAAATGCCAGGAATGCTTTCAGTAAACAGTTGCTGATACACCACTTATTATCAAGTAATACTCTTGTTTTCGTCAGGATGAAATTTGTTCTCACCTTATCTTAATTAGAGCCACTTCTTTAGAAAGTCCAAAATATTCTTCATCCTTGAAATAGTGAGATAGTTTATAAATACCATAATGTGTGAGATGTAATCATTTAGAGTGAGCCTGTAAGCTGGTGGTATTCAGTGGGTGACACTTTCTTGGATGGTCTATCAGTGAGCTACAGCTTGCTCGGTTTTATTTAAATAAAACACAAATGAGACTGACATGAGAAGATGATTGCTAAGATATTAATGCTGTGACTGCAGTATGTTGTACAGTCACTATGATTTGTCTGCATCTATTTTCTCTGCTGCTTTACCTCCTCTGCTTGCGTGGGTTCTTGTGGTGTGGTGGGACAGAAAGACATCAGAGGCACCTTTCTTCCCTCAGTCCTCTGTGCAGAAACCAGGGAGCATAAGGTGACTTTCAGGGGAATATGCTTTATATGGGCAACACAGTGTGAAAAGCTATCACTTCTGAAAGTACCTGTTTTTCTAAACAATTATCCCTAGGGAATCCATTCTGAAAGCCATTCCCATCCGTGCTCCATCCTACTGAAATGAGGAAAGAGTATCCAAAGTGTCCACCAGATCTTAAGGAATCAAGCAATGGTAAGTGCTGAGCAAAAATGTGAGTTGATCCCTGTGTAACCCTGCTTAGGAGCATGTGAATGAGTAGCCTGCAGTCTCTTGGGGCTGTGGAATTAACAGCAGTTTAGAAAAGCTGGAATTGGAAATTCTTATCCTCTGTATTTCTTGTGAAGAGCAGGGCTCTGCTGGGAACCTGGATCCCAGGAATGCACCTAGAGAAGGAGAAGTGCTGCTTCTATCAGATGTACTGTGTATATATCTGATAGATTGGCCTTGAAGAAATCAGCAAATATGGACAGTTACTTTTTTTATTAAGTTCTTTTATTGCTACTGTACAGTTACAAAAAATACCCTGAAGTGAAAACGCAACTTCGAACAGCAGTGCGGTGCTGTGACTCTCACACTTTTTTAAAATAATACACAAAATAAAACAAGAATTATCCAAACACAGAGATGTCATCCTAGAGGCCTTATCTGATGTTTGTAAGCTCCTGCATTTAATAACAACTTTTCCATCACAAAAGCTTCTAACAAGTAACAATATTGGATGAAGCCCAGTGATTTCAAAAGGTGAAGATGGCAAACATCTGCAGAAGCCTTTGAGCTTGCAGTAGGCTGAGTGTCCAGCACAGGACTGGGCCTGAGGTTCTGTCACTTGCTTCCTTCCTCACACTGAGGGCTAAACTAAGGCTGCCTGCTCCTTCCCAGCAGCAAAACCTACAACAAATGCTGACTGTTCAGCCCTCATTTCTGCAGCCTTTGAAGAAGGTTGCAGAGTGAACCTGCAGCTGAATGAAAGTGAGCAGGTTAACAGTGTCACGCAGTCATGCTTCCATTCTGATCAAACTGACCCAACAGAAAGCAGTTCTATGCCAAGTACTGAACGTGCAAGCTTGCAACGCTTTGGGGCTGACAAGTTTGAGACTGTTAGCCTGTGGTGTGCATATGTTCTGACACAGCTCCAGCATTACTGCTTCCTGAACAAAATTACCTGAAGAAGAACTTCACAAAACCTCTATAAACAGCCCCTACTGAGAACAGGCTTTGCAGAATATACACTCTGGCTGGTGGAAATGTTTGGAAGCTTTCAGGTCAAACTGTAGCCCTGCTGGAACGACACGCTTTACAGAGCTTCTCCTGCACTCCCATGCTGCTCAGAACAGGGGGTTTTCCTCTCCTCTCACATTCTGCAAGTCTGTTAGACTTTATCTCAATGGCCAGGACATTTTTGGCATTTTGCAACCCTTTTTTTTTTTCCCCTCTTGTTGTTTTTCCCTAACTCAACATATAAAAGTTAAAACCATGCTACCAGTAGCCTAACTTAGACAGGGAGGCTTCTCACTAACTGGTATCTCTGTAGATTTATAAAGAGTGTTTTATGTATTATTACTTTGGAACAACGTGAGTGTAGTAAACAGATTCTTATGTACATCTATTATTATTTCAGCTGGTTCTGAGACTTCATTAAGGAACTCTGAAAGCCTGAGAGCTTCAGGCAGTGATATGAATATATGAGGTACAAAGTTACCTAAAAAAAAAACTATGAAGACAGTAATGATTTGAAAACTTAGTTGCTGTTTTACACTGAAAAATCTAGTCTGAGGAATGGGTCTTTTTCCTCCACGTTAGAATTATAGAAAAGAGCTAAAAACAGTCTACATATTTTATTCCTGATAATTTAAAAGCAGTCAAAAGTAATTTTTCCTTCTCCATCCATGCTTTGAGATACTATTATTTTTAACACATTAGACAACCTAGAGCAGCAAAGTACAATTTATATGGAAATCTGCATATCTAATGCAGTGACACCAGAATTTGCAGACTGCCTTACCAGACAAGTTGCCCATTGGTCCAGATTCAGTTCTGTATGCTCTAATTTTACAAGGATGCTTGGGTTGCTGTTTATCTCAGCTCACAGTCACAACCAGTATAAGCTCTAATGCTCAGCTGCAAGCCTGACAACATACATCCAAAAGGCTGATGACAAATGACAGTTTTTAGCATTAAAATAGGAAGGGCACATCTAGAAGACCAATTACAATAGCCTTAAAGTTAATGGTATTAAAAGCTGTAGTCCTTACTACCAGCATTAGTATTCATCAGTTTGAGTGACCAAGAAAATTACAATATTGACAGCTAGCAAACTCTTCTGTCTTTCCATGTCACCTGTAGTGCAAAGATACAGAGCAATAAGTCAGGTGTCAGCTCTTAATTGGTAAAAGAATTTGATCTTTTCTCCTCGAAAAAGGAAACTGCTGCCTGAATCAGTAATTGCATGACATATAGAGAACTGAACTATTAGGAAGAGGGAAGGAAATTTTTTGGTCATGCATGTTCTGTAAGGAGGCCTTGTTTTATTCACTGGCTGGGATACCAGGAGAAATCTGCTGTCATTCTTTTCATCCCATCATCTTGAGACACCTCTCAGAACACAGCTGGCACGCAGTGGATTCAGACAATGGTAATCTGTTCAAATAGGCTCAAGGCACTTTGTTTCTTAAATCATTGCCTTTGATAACAGTAGCTTCCCAACAACTGCTCCTGGGGCTCCCTTGTTCAGAAACGTCTGCACTGAAGTGTACAGGATTCCACATCTCCCCTTGAAAACATACATGTGTTCAGAATATGGCTATCAGCCTTGGAAAGTCTGTTTTGAGATGTCTGTCTCGGAGCTGTGATGCTGACAGAACTGCTACTGAACAGAATAAATGCTCTTCTAATACAAATACACTTTAGACTGCGCGACGTTAGCAGACCAACTTTGGGTAGCTTAATTTTGGTACAAAACTACTCCCAGCAAGAGCCAGCTGCTGCCATGGAGGGAGGGGAAAGTTAAAGGGCCTGTGGTGGATTATTTGCATAACAGACAGGAGGTGCAACGTGGATCTCAGCAGAGGAATTTGGTCAGTTTTTGTCCTCCTCCATCTCTCTTAATCACTCTTCAGGCCTCAACTCCAAACTCTGGTGCTGTACCCTTGAGTGAACACGCTCATAGAACAGCAGGTAAGCACTAGAGGCAAGGACCTCCTGCAGACTCGCTTTGCGAACCGTATCGTCTGAAATCCATAGCCACTGATTGCTGACAGAGAGCGGGCTCTTGGGAGAAGGCGGAGAGCGGCGGTAGGTCACAAAGTGTCCAGAGTGCATGTCTCCATGGTGCACAACCACCGCCATCAGCCGGTACAGGTACACAGGGGGACTGAGAGAGAGGAGAGAAAGGGTCAGCAGACCTCGTGTGTCTCACATGGACCTAAGGAAGCTCCCCTTGCTTTGTCTTTGCTTGCAATTTCTTTCCAGAGCAAGTAATTGTGTCTAAGAGACGTGCTGCAGTTACTGTGTGCAGTTACTTTTCGTTATTCTAAGTCTTTTTGTTATTTTAAGTGCACTGCAGTGCTGCCTGACTTCTGAAGAAAGCAAACCATTCATTTTAAAGGTTTAATGCACCAGACAGCTATTACATCTTTCTTAAAAAGAGGTCAAATTATGGTGGGTAATCCATAGATAAAAACAGGTATACTTTAAGGACTTGCTCTACAACTGTCTTCATAAAAAATGTTTGGCACAGAGCGTTTGCTCGCTTCTCATTTCCCAAAGTATTGTGGGAAATGTGCTCCCCATGGGATAATAACCAACAGTTCTGTAACAGAACGTTGGTCACAGGACTGAAAAGGGAAAAAAAAAAGTCATCATCATAAGCATCAAGACTGGATTTATTAAGTAGAATCATGGCAGCTGCAATTGAGATAGTTAAGTAGAACTCTTACAGATTTTTTTTCCCAATATTGTAAGAATTTCTTGCAGGAGTTTAAAGAAACCTAACAACTCTCACAGGAACAGTTAAAAGTCAAAGAAGGGGTAGTAGGAAAAACAGCATGAATGAGAATATGGCAATCCAGAAGGATGATTGCTGCACGCTGAACCAAAGAAAAGAGATTCCGAGTTCTCCCTGTAATAAGCTCAACTCCCTTTCTTAGAAGGAGAGAAATGGAGCCAAAGACAATCAGCAAGGAAAACAGAAAACAATTTTCTGCACAGGAACTAGGATAGATGTTAAGTTCTATGACTACACAGCCTTTTGATAAAGACAATAAAGGAAAACACAACTCAAATGGATGGAAATACAAACAGGGTGCACATCTCACTTACCTGCACTCAGGGAACGCAGCGAGTGGAAAAGTTCCCGAGGACATGAAGAGTGGAGAGGAGCAGGCGCCATTCATAAGGAGAGATTTGGTACCACGTGTCTGCTCTGCATCTGCAAAACAAAACAGGCTGGTCATTTAACTTCAGTGCTGCCACAAGTATTGCTAACTGCTTCTGTTTCTACAGTGTCTGTCATCACAGAACGTGAAGGCAGTTTATTTTAATTCATTACACATCACAGTCCCTTGATATCTAAAGGCAAGAGGTAAACACAGGTAAATACCTGAAGGTTTTACTGCTATCCCATCCCTTGTTCCAGGCTTTGTCTCTTCGGAGCTTTTCTGATTCAGATCATTCTGAGTTGATTTATGAACAGGAATGTGATATTTGTAGATGTCCATGATTAGGAACTCATTGAACTGTACATGTTCATGACGTTTCAGAGGAGTCCCTTGGTTTGACCAGCTCAGTCTTTGCAGATGGATACACAAACACTGAGGGAGCTTCAAAGTTCCATACAAAAGAGAAGTCAAAATACATTTTAAGTGAAGAGAAACAGCTGCTAAAAGCATTCTAATGGACCTAAGTGGTAAGTCCAGTAGATAAGGAATTAAGTCACTGAACTGTTGTTCCTCTATGTGCTATTTCTGTATCTAAGCTTACTGCAATACTATTTCTGAGTCACAACTGTTGAGATTTCTAATAGTGCCATATTGCTTGCTAGGCAGTGGGACAGAGCATGTTAATTACTGACTGCAAATGGGGGAAGGAAAGAAAGAAAAATCACACACATTCCTAAAAAGCCCATCTCATTTTGCTTGATGATCTGCAAGGCAGAAATGAGCACTGGAATTTGTGTCAGTATGTTGCTGCCAGACATTTGCTAATATTCCATAAATAATGGCATCACACAGTAAGAGTACCCAGGAAAAAAGGTCAAGGAGTTATAAATATCTGTCAGACAAAGTCATGCTGAGGCTGGCCTTTGTCAGTAAGGAAATGTTATTAGGAATGGCCCTGCTGTCCTCTGCATTATCTGATCACAGAACAAGAAACTTGTAAGCACCTCCACTGTAAACATTTCCAGTTCTTTAGCACTGCGTTCTCTTGTTTAAACCTTCTGTAGTTACAACATGTTAACTTTGAAATGCACAAATTATCCTACAAATAGGCTGTATATATCAACTGCTTTACTGACCAAGGGAATAAAAAAGCAACACAAGACAAACAAACTGCACCTAAGCTAAACTCAAGTGTTTTGCTGAATAGCAGTGGAGTACTCACGTTCTTTAAGCTAAAGAGTTCAGAGCTTTGTTAACTGAGATATCAATGTCTACAAATATTTGACAAAAGCCTTTTTTTTCTATTTCAGAAAACATTAGAGAAGTGCAATAAGTAGTAGAAGTAGACATTAAGCAAACAGGTCAAAGAAAGAGATTACTATTTAATAGGATTTAAAAGTGGATTTGGGGGGTTAGCTCGCCTTACCTTCCCTAGCTTTAATTGCTTAACAAATGTTGTTTTCTGGTTTTCTATGCTCTGTCCATTCAGAGTCCCTTCCGCCTGAATCTGAAATCAAAGGGAAAACAGAGTTGTTTGATCACTTGTTGTATCAAATTACAAACAATCATCCTGCTGCAGGTTTGCATGCTGCATGCCAAGCTATCCTTGGGATGTGAATTTCTTCTACAATTTTCCTCTCTCAAGAGCTGTTGGCCCATTCCAATGGATCCATGTTTTAACACAGAACTGAGCAGAAACAGCTCTTAGAGAACAAACCTAGTTTACATGTAGCCATTTCTGTTAGGTATCAAACAATCCGTTTTGGCTCTCTGTCATCAAAGTACAGGCAAATATAAAGTAATGTTTCAAAAGGGGACTAATTCTTTTTTTGTTCTTCTAAATATGATCTAAATACCAAATAAAGCAGTTGTAAATTTTATTATGTTAACAATAAATAAAGCTTCAAAATACTGTGGGGTAATAACTCTATTTTAAGAATAATAAATCCCAGGCAAGCTAGAGGCTTTCCTGAAGTCATGAAGAAAGGAGTAGAAAACTGAGGCCATAATTCTGTCAGCAGGCTTGAAACTGAGCTCAAAGGTTACATAAATTACAATGACATACTTTAGTGCAATTGTCACACACAACATCCTTCACAGATTCAGAGGAGATGAAGTGATGGAGGCAGTGATCCAGTGTCATAGGATGACCCTTAGAACAACAGCAAAAATTATTAATTACAGACATAAGGTAACGGCTACAATACAAAGGTCTGCACATTTTGCCCCCAAATCTACAATGTTTTATCATTTAAAGATTTTCACAAAGCCAGTGAGACACAGAAACTATTTCCAGTTGTAATGTAACCAGAGACAGAGCACTTGAAGGTCATCTTCTAAGCCTGCCTGTAATACACAGCCCTCAGGATACAATCTGCTGTGTTCAATTTAACCAAAAGGACCAAATAATCCACCAGGAGAAAAAGAAAACTCAGTGCCTACAGTCACACCCATCAGGCTAATTGCTCATTTCCCTCATTGCCTTAGCAGTAAGGCCCTGTGCTAACACAGCAGGATTGCTTATAAAGGCAACTCCAGTTACTCATTTAGTAACACCTCATTTAGGTGCTACTGAGGCTGTAAAAGGATAACAGTGAAGATAAAGCCCTGATGGCAAGGCAGTAGAGTGCTGGCTGGGTCACCCATCAAAGGCAGATACATACCCACACAGCTGCTGGAATACTCAGGGAGAGACTGTCAAATGTATCATACCTCACAGGACTCTGCAAGAAAATATTTCAAATGCAGTGAGCAACCAAATCCACCATGGTCTAAAAAACCAAATAGGTCAACCATTACCTCCCAGCAGCCTCATGCAGAACAAGCATATCCGTGCATGTCTGTTACATCACTTGTTTTCCCCACAGCTGTAGTGCTAGGGAACACCTGATGCAGATGCTGATACAGGTACTGCTCTGCCTGTTTCTGCTGAAGCTGCCCCTGCTCGCTTCTAAACTTGTTTGCAAGTTTTTGAAAAGTGTTCTTAGAGTTGGGTGTATGAATTCCATCTATTTTCTGTATTTTTGCTTCATTCAGCTTATCTTCATCTCCTCACTCTGGATGATTGCAACCTTATTTGCCTTTGCATGTGCAATCACAATACTGCATGCTGAATGAATAGCCAGTCCTAAAATGCAAGTGGATTTTCAGCATATGATACCTGTGATATTGGACACTAAATGTAATTAAACAACTATTCTACCTGATAAGATAGCTGTCATCCCCAGGAAGTGAATCACACTTCATTTTCTTTGGGATGCTTAGCAATATTTTCTTGTTCAGTACAAAATGCCACAACAAGTAGCTGAAAAAAATAATGGCTGAAGCTCTTATTCCTGCAAACTATTGAGCTTAAACCAATTATGTTGGAAACAAGGGATGGTGGTTTCACCTCAGAATGCACTCTGAATATCAGGGATCACTCTTCATGTGTACCTAAACACAGCACACTTTTGTATACCTGGTGTTCACAGTGTTTGCAAACCATGTTGCTGGTCAGCCTTCCATGAAAAGGATGCTGAGACTTCCAGTGATTTGACATAGGAGGAAGAGATCCTGAAACACAAAGATGAAATTGTCCTTTTATTTTCAAAACATCCACGTTCATCACTGTAATTCCAACCGTTTGCCCTATTGTAACAAAAGCTGTAAAACACGGTCTGCCCCACTAACAAATAAGGAATGGTATTTTACAAATGAGGAGATGCACGTCACTCCAATAAAGACAAAGATCAGTTGGTCTTATCCCCTTAATAAACCCAATGATCACACTATGACTCAATATTCATGTTTCAGGATGGAAAAACATACCTCTGGTTCGGCAGCTAATTTGCTTTTGGGTTATTTCTGGCTGCTGCAGAGGAAAATAAAAGATGTCATCAGCCCCACCTTAGAGAAGCTTACATATTAAATATATATTTCATTCCTGATTTCAGAACAAAGGTATGAGTTGAAGTGTCTTTGTGATTGAAGAAAGCCAAAAACCTGGTGCAGAACAAAGTTCTAAGTGACAAATAGAGCAGTTCTAATGCAATGAACAGTTAACCTGTCGAATTCTGTGCCTGATAGCACTGAAATAAAAGCTCAACAAGTTTTCAGACTGTTTGTATGTATTTTAGGCAAAAAGATATAAATCTTCCATCAGCATTAAGCTGATCATTAATGCTGAAGGATGAGCTAAAACTTCACCTCCAAATGCACTGTGCTATAAACACCCATTCTGCAGTTGCCCTTTGTTGCATCAGTCTAACAGATAAGAATAAATGATTGCACCAACTGCTGCTCTGTGTTAGTTTGCTAGTTTTTCAGTCCCTATGTTCAATGGATTTAGGAATGCAAAAGCTCTCATGCAAGCAGAGTCACAACAGACTGAGGTACATTTGCCTTCAAACATTTTTTTTTCTTTTCATTACCTGGGCTACTGATTCATTTCTCTCAGAGCAATAAAGAGCAGCTTTGTAAACCCTATGCTATTATCTTCAGTTTCTTAACAGGCATTTCATACTCGACACGCTTAGGAATCTGGGCAGACTACCAAGTACATATGGAAACCTCTGAAAACAAAACAACATTGGTAAAGTCGTCACCTCCAATGAATGCACATCAAACAAATGTGTGACACGTGGCTGACGATCCCGTTCATCTTCCAATGAAGAGGTAAGGACATGAAATAGTTCATGAGCATCCTATTAAATAGAGGCATAAGGGTTACAGGAAGCAAAACAAAAAAGAAACCCATCCAAACATACACCAGGAGTGCTGAGAGTCCACTGCACTATGAAATTAAAGGGGAAAATCACTGCTTAGAGCTTATCTTACGTATTAATAGTCATCAATTGTGCATCCAATTCAAGTTTAGTAACAAGTGTTCTCTATAAAACTGAATTTCATATATTTCATTATTAAAAACATTCTGGGCGGGATAAATTTAAGAGGCACCAAAATCATTGAAGAAAAAAAATAAATGCACAAATGCCTGCTTTCCTGAGTTTCAATAAAACCCATCACTGAAATCTGTGCTATTTGGTCTGGCTCTGAAACATAAAAGAAGAATGCAACCATATTTTATGAATGAGAAAATTGATTGAGTTTATCGACCAGCTGCACTTACTTAGGGGCTGGAAATACTGAAAATAAGCCTTAGAAATCCCCTGTGGGACTGAATTTGGAAATAGTAACCAAGTTGGGTCCATCCCTGCAAGCAGAAGCCCTTCAGATACAGGGCAGTGAGGGCTGTATCCCTTCTGCTTTAATATGTCAAACCAAATCTGAACATACTAAGTAGGAGGTTTTGAAGCAGCCAGGCTTTCCATGACAGACATCTAAGCAAACTGAAAACACCATTCATGAATCACAAATCACATGGTTGTTCTCCTTCATTTTTTTAAAGCAAACTTTTTCCTACAGCAAAGATTCAGCTCTGACACCCAGTGCTATTAGTGCTATTGCTTCAGTTTTTGGTTATTCCAGATCTAAGCACTGAACTGTACATCAGGCAGTCTAACTTGAATTTTGTAATCACCTGCTCTTCAAATGTCGAGATCTGCCACCTGTAAATTCTTAACACTTCTAATAAGCAGCTTGCATCCAGGACATCATCTTCTGTTACCTCTTGACAGGATAAAGCTTAAAGACATTGCATTTTAACATGTTAGAAGGAGCCACAAAGCATGGTTAGAACACAGGTCTGTGTATTTTAGGATTTATGCTACTTAGGCACAATATAATTGATTACCATAAAGATATTCTTGATTAAGACAGGTAAACAATGACAACCAAACTAGCATGTATTAATTGCCATTCTCATCTGACAGTGTCATTGACTGCATACATTCTCTTTGTCTACTATACTTGTAAAGTGGAGCGTTTCCCAACTGACACACATAGAGAGAATAAGCAATAATATAAACACTGCCTGAAAAGATCACTTTACGAGTGGATGAGGTAAAAAGAGGATCTCTAGATATCACAAAATCAATGTTAACGTCTCACTGTCCTTTGATCACTTGAACTTACAAGCTCAAGCACAGTTTTAGTGTGAACAACATCCTGAGACACTAAACCAAAAAGAGAGGAACCCAGCACTGCCTGCACTTTCTTTGAGAAGGATTAATGTTGATGCTAAGTGCTTTCTTCCTGGCTTACCACGACGTGAATGAGTTTGGTACCTCTTAGGAGATGCAACAGAGTGAGCGACAAGTACTGCTGCTCGCTGGGTTGGTTCTGCTCTGCCTTGTACTGTGCTGTGAACTCCTCCAGCCACCTGATGAACGAGGGGCACGAAGACAGGCCTTGCAGCAGGGAGTTCATGAAGCAGGTGTTGCCCAGGTTCAGCAGGCCAGGCACCAGGCCTGCCAACAGAGATGGAAGAGCTGACACTGTGGGCTGCAAAAACCTTACTACTTTCACTGGCAAGTGAATTTGGTATGGAAATTACATGGTTTCTGTTCATTTGGTGCTGAAAACTAGAAGGTTCTCACATGGCTGTTTTGCATCCCAAAATGCAAAATAAAATAAGATCTGTGACCTGCAGCAGTAATTAAATTACCACAGAAGAGACGCGAGCATATATTCAGTAAGTCACAATTATTAATAACAGATACAATTAATAGCTTACATAAGGAACAAAAGTCCTCTGTTCAACACAGATTGTAACCTGTGACATTTTAAAGGCAAGGACAGCGGCCCAAACCTTAACTTCAGTGACAGCCCACCATTTCCAACAGCTCCTAACGACGAACGCAGATAACGGGGTGCCCGGGGAGCCCCAAACCGGGCCTCTGCCCTCAGCAACGGCCTCGCCCGCCTCCCCCCGCCGCTCCCTACCTCTCCTCCGCTTCTTCCTCTCGGCGATGGGCCCCCACAGCACGTAGATCCCCGCCGCCACGGCGGCCGCCAGCCCCCCGATCACCCCCCAGCTCCGCATCGCCCTGTACCTGCACGGGGAGACACGGGGACGGTGACGGAGGCGGCCACGCAACGGGGCTCGAGGCGACGCTCGAGCCTCTCCTGCCGGTCCCCACCCCTCCCGGCCCCGCCGCTGACCTGCCGCCCGCCCCGGCCCTCAGCGCCCGCCGCACGGCGCCGCCGGGCAGCATCGCACCCCGGAACCCGGACCTGCGGGCGGGTGGCGCGACGGACGGGCAGCGCAGGGTACCGGAAGTAGCGAGAGGGACGCCGGAAGTGACGCCATAAGCACGCTCCGCGCCGGGCCGCCCCCTAGCAACGGTTGCTAAGACCGCGCGTTGGGCGAGGATTGCAGAGTCCCGAGCGTGGTGCAGGTTTCTGTGCCTGACTCGAAGGCCTCGCTCTGCACACAGCGCTGTCTTTTTTTATTTTTATTTTTTAACCGAGGTGCTCTAGGGGTTGTGTAGCGAAAGCAGTGTTTGCCATCAACGCAGACATACGTGCAGCTTCTGGGAGCTCCTCGAGGTGGCAGCTGCCGACTGTGGGCCTGGCAGAGAGCAGCGTCCTCCTCTTTACACCTTCCCAATTATCGAGCTGTGTTACAGGGTGCCTGGTGCACCTTTCAGCCCAGTCCTGGTTTGCCTGGCCTTGTTCCATATGTGCCAGAGGGAGAGGGGGGCCCAGAGAGCACAGGAACAAGAGGCTGATTGAGGTGGGGAAGTGGTGGAAGAGAAGGGCAAATGAGCTGTCCTGACTGCTGCAGCACTCCTGTGAGATGTACAACGCTGACGTAACAAACTGAATGCATGAACAAAAGGCACCAGGGTGCTGAGAGGACCACAGTTTCCACCTTCCTGTTGTGGGCTTTACGGTGAGACAGAGCAGACTTTTCAGATTATATAAAATACTGAAGTATGGTTTCTTTAACCCATGTTTTTTGAAGAGGAATTGTGTGGATAGATGAGGTTTAGCTGCCAAAGCCTTTCATTTTTTTTTATGTTATGGGCCAGGCTGCCTTTTATTCCAAATAAACTGCTCAGCCCCTTTGTGAGAACAACCAACTGAAACAGCCATTCTTTACCCAAATCACAACACCACCCAAATCAAAGACAACAAGGATGCACGATGAAAGAGCCACATTGTTTGTGCAAATCTGCGTGCCTGGGAAAGATGAGCAAAAAATGTCAGGGGAGGTGACAGTTACCCAAATATATGCATCTTGATCCACATGGAATGACACTAAGGTACCTGAGACATCCATGAGGTCTTTTGTGATCAACTGTACAGTGTGGTGCTACACAAAGTGCACGGATGGAGACCGCAGGACACACACAGTTATTGAAATGAAGCTTAGTGTGAGCATCAGGATTCCACTCCCAGGCACAAATTAAAGAATTATTCTCACAACTTTTAAGGCAGCTGAAGCTCTAGCTACACCGCCTGTGAGATCTCTCCTATAAATACTAAAAACTGTTCACATTTTCAGTATTTAGCATCATAAACCGAATCTGTGTGATAGCTGAACAACTCCCAGTCACATATTAAGCGTGCTTGGTTTGTCATAGCCAGGCCAACTCTCTGTTGGGCATCATGTTTTCCCTGGTCTGAATTTGCACGCCTTCTGACTTATTCCTCACGATAATACTTTTCACCTGTCTTCATGTGAATTCACCTTGCTGATTTCAGGCCATTTTTTAATTAGTCAAATGTACCTTACATTTTAATCATGTAAAAAAATCTCCTAGCACATTTCTTTTAATTTTCTCCTGCATGCCTTTCTCTGGAAAGGATTCTTCTGTAAATGCACAGCTAAATTTTCTCTTCCAATTGCAGAACAAAGTCTACAGGGGGGAATGCACCTGGCTGACAGCATATTTTGCAGCTAAATGACTGAGATTTTTTACAAAGCGATTTCATTCTGAGTTTGTGGAGTGCACACTCAGAAACCCTGTCAGGTCACCAGAAGAGATTAAATATGGAAACTTTCCATGGGTATCTGAAACAGGCACTACAAAGACGTAGTTTCTGCAAAGACCCTCATGGAAGTGCAGTGTTAACAGCTTACCTGACTGCGCTGTGTTCCCCCAAAAGACCCTTTGCTATCATTTCAGGATCAGCCGTGCCCAAAATAACTTTGCTCGGCTTTCCTTACGGAAGTCCCAATGCTGCCCAGCTCATTTTCTGCTGCCACTTTAGCATCCTTTGTGCCCCAGCCTCTCAACGGACGAATCCCTGGTCACGGCTGCCGGGAAAGCCGGTGCAGGCTGGCAGCACATCCCGCAGCAAGCACGGCAAGGGGAGGGAGCCACTCAGCCCTCCCCGGCGTGCCGTGCTGAGCCGTGCTGAGCCCAGCCGCGCCGCGCTGTGCCGTGCGGTGCCGCACCGTCCCGGTGCCTGCGACCACCAGAGCCCTCCGTCCGCCCGTGCCCGCTTTGCTACAGCTTCATCCATCCCCGCCATGCGAGAGCGATGAGAGCAGCTCCTCCAGACGCAGCCTGGCAATGGAGGATGATTTATTCCAGCTGAGACAGCTGCCGTAAGTAGCAACGGTAGGGGAGCGAGGATGCGCAGGGTTTCTTCTAAACGGGCTGCGGGGATATTGTACATCCTGGCGATTTTTAAGAGAATTGCTTTTAGGAAGTGTCTCAGGCCCCGGGAAGCAGGCCATTTTCCTTGTGCAGCTGCCTGGCTTCAGCATCCTGGGGGCATGCAGGGATTCGGCTGTTACATAAATCCGATGCGTTTATGTTTTTGCATGAACCTGGTGGTGGTGGAAATAAGGAGGGCTGGAACAAAACCGCGGAAGTGCCAAAAAATGTTCTGAGAGGAAATGCTACTATTGCATTTGCAAGGTGCATTGCATCTGTAAATAACGTTGGGCTAAGGAAGGCATCTTCCTCAGCTTCCTGCTTTGAGCCGATGGCAGATCACAGCCTCTTTTTGCCAAGGTGTGTTTGCATTGAGTGTCGTTAATATTTGCTAACTGCATGTTGCAGTAAAGCACACAGTGCTGCACAGGGAGAACGCTGCTGTTCATAACAAACTGTTGGGATGTGGTTGTTGGATCTGTGCAAAAAGGTGAGAGAAGGATTTTAACGGCAAGGTT